TTTATGACAGGATGCTTCCTGTGATGAGAGATGTTTTATGAGAGGTTTAACTGATGTCTATTTTTTAATTTCACTGGACAAGCTATGCTTGCCATTGCACATTCACGGGCCTTTAAACCCAACCATCGAAACCTTAAAACCACATCTTTACCTTCAGACAGCAGTACCAGAAAAATCCTCACAGCGATGTTGTAATCTTCACAAAGATAAGTTGCTGAAAGGAAGGCAGGTGGTTGGATCCCTGACAGCTCCAGTTTGTATGCCAGAGTATCCTCGAGCAGTATCCTGAACCCTGAATTACTCCCGGTGTGTTCATCCGAGAGTGAAAGATGTTAACGGTGGAAAGTATGTAGAAAGCCTGTTACCGGAGTCTCTCACCTAAAAGTAAAGGCAGACTATCGGCTGAGAGCATAAACTGAGAAAAGCATTTCTGAAGAATATGCTAAACTCGAGTGTCACGTGGGCTCAATCCCAGCATCGCAGCAACAGGCTCTGCAGGCAAAGAGCTTTTATTTCTTTTGACATTCAGGAACATGTGATACTAAAGGTTACATTTTGCTCTGTCTCACAATCATAACGCATTTTTCCAAAGATTCCTGGATTCAGACGTGGGTCCAGATTGGTGCAAAGCCCCACCTCTGATGACATAAACCTGTTGTAAAGAAAATAACTACATTGTAGCGCTAAGTGTTACCTGAAGTTGAAGCCATGGAAGAACAAGCGACAGGCTGAGATTATTTGGTAGTGCAGCTCTTCTCTAACCCTCGTCCTGCTGCTTCCTTTGTAGATGATGTGTCTGCTGACAGCAGTGCTGAATTTCCAGACCGGGCATCCATGATGGAGGTGCGTCTGCAGGCACAGGAGGACGAGATCACACTCCTGAAATCCTCTCTGGCTGACGCCCTGCGCAGGCTCCGCATCCACGATCAGGTCCTACAGTTACTGAAGCAGCAGGTCATAGCAGGTGGGTGATGTTAACTGAAAACTGAAACTAGTGTGGCTCGTCCGTCTCCGTTCATATAAAAGTGATTAGACTTGCAGAGTGCAGCTGCACACGCAGAAGAAACTAATAATCCACTTTGATCTACTCAGTGAACCCGAGTGCTGCACGGCTGCTAAGCCAAGCATGCTGCTCAGATTGTTCCAGCAGCAGCAGAAAGTTGTCCTCCAGCTCAGCCAGCGATGGGATCCGGCACCCTGCTACGAGGTACTACACCTTCCAGCCAAGGGCTTAAACGCTCAGGACGAACGACCAGGGGCCGTTGTGTTGTATTAGACAACACGCTTGTCTATTCAAACTGTCGTTGTGCTCATATGTCTGTGTGAACTGCCTGTGTGACTGCTTTGTGTTGTTCTCAACCTTTGAACTCTCCAGCCAACTGTCAGACACCACTGTGACCAATGCAAACAGCTCGGCATCCACGGACATCCAAACCGTTCCAGCAACAGTGGACCAGTCGACCCAGACAGAGTCGACCCCGTCATGCCAGGACTCGGGCCAGGACAGGGTCCCTCTCCACGGACGAGTCCAGAGCCTGCAATTGGAAGATGCACTCGTGGAAGGTCCTTCTGTATCTGAGGGAAACCGGGCCAAACTCCACCGTGTCCCTGGTATGGAAGAGGAGGATGAGGAGCCAGAAGATGAAGGAGGAGGAAGAGGGGAGCAGGAAAAGGACCTAACATGGGCGTCGTCAGTTGAAGAGCCCATTCAGCCCACCACCATCAGAGGCCTCCAGAGGGAGGACCTCCTGGATGGCAGCTGCTCTCCGGAGGATCCAGGCTCAGCCTCGGCCTCATTCAAATCTTCAGACCAGAACCTCAGCTGCCGCTCTGGACCGCTGTCTCCCATCCACGAAAGAGAGAAGGCTCTGTGCGTGATCCTGCCTCATTGCCGCGTTCTTTACAACCTCAATCATCTTTCCTTAATCGTTGATTGATTGCATGACTTTTAAGAACGAATCAACACTAACACTGATTTTCCAGATTCTGGCTCTGCAAACCCCAGTTGTGCTGCAGCCCGCTTTATGAACCAGACATCCTCAGGTTTGCAGGGTGTGTCATGCTGCGTTAGAATATGTCACCACCCGGGTGTCCTGTTCTGCTGTCTCGGTCACTAAAGTCCGCACGTGCTTTCTTTTCAGTGTGTTTGAACTGGAGAAACACAAAGCTAAAGTCTAACTCATATATCCATATTAAGCTTCAAAGCACCCAGAGATTTGAATCCACTGGAAAATAGAATGAGAAGTAAACAAAAGGCATGTCTGCAAGCTGCACGGTGTATACTCCTGCTGCGTAGCTGCAGAGCGCCTCAAAATGACTCGGTGTCATGATTCTGTATGTGACACGGCGTCAGTAAGGATCTGTTTTTTTCAACTGGGTTTTGCAGATTTGCACAAACTGTTTCAACAATGTTTCACTACAATTCTACTCTAAGCTTGTAATCGCTCCTAATATCTTTGTGATTAAAACATATTCTCTTACAGCAAAGCATGTCTTCCATAAAGGACTACCTTACTAATAGGTGGGGACCACAGGGCAGGGCTCTGCTTTTGTTTACTGCTTTGGTTTACTTTGTTTACTTGTGCATGTGCTCTGTGTTTTGCCCTCCCTCCTTGTTATTCCTTTGAAAGGGTTTCCCAGAACATCAGTTTGACTTTTGCCATCTGCCTCTGACAAAAGCTCATGTGGGCCTCCAGGATCAAACTAGCACAAATTAGTATTCACTGCTTTAGACACATTAAGACTTTCAATATGAACTCAGAAGCTATTTTCACCATTGCAATCCCCTGCAAGCTGTCCAAACGGCATTAAACCTTTAGAATACAGAATAAAGAGTAATTCTATTTTCTAATTTCAAATTTTAAATGATTTTGTTTCTGGTTACATTTTGAGGAATTTGGTATGTTGCTGAGATTTCAAACTCAGATGACATTACTACACATAAATTTCATCTAATCGAATAAATTAGTCAAACTGTTTCATCAGGTCAGCTTCTTCCTCTTGTGTGATTGTTTGCATGGCCTTAACAGTGTGTGTGTGTGTTTTAATTTCAATATTAAATGTTACTATTGTGCTTGCAAAACTATTTAAAGGTAACACTGGATACTTTCAGTTTGTATTTTATGATGTGTTTGTGTTGTAGAGCTCAAAGCAAACACAAGCCGACCTGTTATCAAAGTGTCTGTTTAGGCAACAAATTGTTTCTTGTAGGTTTAAAAAATTTAAAATCCACACACAAATATTGTTTTTGTGAAGCTACAGAGCTTCTACTAGTTCTGACTGATTGTTTCCAGAATCAAAGTTCAAATAATTTGCAGATCAATGGCAAAAAGCACGTTTGTCTCTGAAGTTAGCATAAATTTTCAGTAGCACTGTTTTTACACCTATAAAAAGGTCTTTCACACAATTGGCACAGTGACAGGTGTAGTAGGCGGGGCTTGGCAAAAGTTATTTATCCTTTGATGGAGAATGTAGGTGCAGCGGGGATTTGTGGGTGCTTCGCATGCAGAGGGATAGGTGCATTAAACTGTCTTGAGTCTGTTGAAGCTGACTCGGTGTTTCTGTGATGCTTTAGGGTTCGTAGAAACAGCGAGAAACTAGGGAACCCTGAAAGGCAGAGGAAACGTCTAGACAAGAAGGCAGCATCTTCAGCAAACCTCCTCGCCCGCTCCCCAAGCCTGGAGAAGTGAGCCATCCTGCCATCACTCACAGATGTCACCACACCGCTCGCTTTGTCCCACGGCTGCAGCAGCCTCGCATTAAAGGGACACTTGTTGGAAGTCACCCTGTGAAACACTCATAAATACACATAATGCGATTGTGAAGCAACAGTCTGTGGAATGGCTTCTAATGTCTTGATTTTTCTCTCCGCAGCCGAGCTAAAGAGCTTATCGCCAGTGCAGGTGAGGTCATTGACAGCATCTTCATCAACAGAGGCCTCTGAGGCAAACTCCATACAGGCCCCAGGGTTCAATCAGGAGTCAGCCCACCACCGTTTCACTGAAACGCACTTTGCTGAATTCAAAAACAGCTTCTACGATCATCGTTGCATGTTGTTGTGTTTCATTTAGGTACTTTTCCAACATGATGGTCTGGCCTGGCTCCAGTGTTGGCAGGCCTGTGCTGTGCTTCTGTACTTGTGACACAGAAACCCCGTTGGTTCACACATGTAGTCATTTGTGTAAAAATGAGTGGATTTCCCAACCAACCACACTTGTGGTTTGCATAGCTTTTATGAGCATTGGCCTTCAGTCTGGTTCTGGTGGTTAAGGCTTCATTCCCTTCACCAATCAGGCTCAGCCACTAGTTTATATCTATTATAGCCCCTTACATGAATAGCTGCGTTGGGGGAGGGGGGGCTTTTGAAGGATGGACCACTTTTAAACCTGTGTAATTTACTTGGACCACATCACATACTTGTTAATATAAAACTCTGACAGTTCTTGACGTAGTCAAATGCAAGAATGCATTTCATAAATTTGAGACTTTAGATCAGGGCGTCCAACTCCAGGCCTCGAGGGCCGCTGTCCTGCAGCTTTTAGACCTCACCCTGAGTCAACACATCTGAATCACATGATTAGTTCATTACCAGGCCTCTGAAGAACTGCAAGACATGTTGAGGAGGTCATTTACCGTTTAAATCAGCTGTGCTGGATCAAGGACACATCTAAAACCTGCAGGACACCGGCCCTCCAGGCCTGGAGTTGGACACTCCTGCTTTAGATGATATGAAAAACGTTGAGCTTTGTTCTGTCTCGAGTAGGGCTTTCTCAAACTCTCAGGATCGTTTCCACAGCACTATATCCATCAGAGTTTGTTTGTTTTTGGGTTTATCATTTTATAGTTCTATTACCCTTTATGGCTTTTATATTACAATTTCAAGTTTTTTCAATACATGCCAGGTGTCTTCTTGTGCCAGTACAGGATATGATGTCATCGGCTTGTTTGGTTGGTTGGTTGCAGCCAAGGTTACGTTAGCTAACTAGAACCAATAACTCAGTGGTAAACAAGGGGACCTAAACTAAAATTCAAAGCGGGTCACTTTTGTGCCGTCCAACATAAAACATAAAACAATGAGTTTTATGTTAAGAAATCAAGATAAAGTAACCCAATCAGTGAGATGACATAAAAAACTGTCTCCAAATAGTGTGGCATCGCTTCCTCGGAGCCTCTGCCTCATTGCTGTTTTTTATTTTTGTTTTTTCTATCGCGCACATCGACCCTTTTTTAACGAAAAGGTTTACATTAACAAATTCATGCCATTTCTCACCAACAATGCTCCATCTGGTGGCAGATGGGTGCATAACATCTATGGCACGATAATTTACCGGCATTGGGCAACAATTACAATTTTAACAGTTAGGTTAAACGAGTAGAACTTATGTTACTCACTACTGACAACAGCGACGGCTAGTCGGCTAGTTGTGCATACTATACCTTACACATGGATCCTGGAATAACTACAACTCCACAAGATCAACACGTGCTTTCATCTGAAATTTGATGGGAATATGGCAAAAAATACTAGAGGCCAACTTTAAGCCTGAGTCCCCATCAAGGGAAGGAATCGTCAAGGAGATGCTGTGTCCCACTGTTGTTCTGCACAGGTCTGAACCGCCTCAGTGAGGTCATTAACAAGACTGGTTTCAGATACCGACTATGACATTATCCACTTCCTCTACATGAATGCCATGAGTGAGCAAGACATCAGCTCATTGATCCACACCACTTTATTCTACAGCAGTGGAATCTCATGCAAACTAGAGAAGTGTAGCTGGATGGTAAGAAAGCGAGGGAAGGTAGTCAGAACTGATGCGATACACTACCAGAAGGAAATGGTGTAAACATCAAGGACAGCCTCAAGTACCTGTGAATCCCACGGGCAAGTGGGAACCATGAAGAGGCTGCTAGGAAAGCCGCATCCACCAAATACATACAGAGTAACCCAAGTCCTCAACTGAATTGGAAGAACAAGATTTAGGCAATAAATGCCTACGCCCTGCCTGTCATCGGATACTCTGATTGGATAATAAAGATGAGGAAATTCCTTACCGTGCATGTAGAGTTTCAGTCCAGCATCATGAGGCTGTACACTAAGCACAAGGTTGGAGGTCGAGGGATGAATCCAGGATGAAACTGATGGAAAGATCCGCACATCGGGAACACAACGGATGGTGTGTTTGGTGAATACAACTGGCAGCAGAAATCTGAGAAAGAAAATCAGAAATTACATTGCAGACAGAAAAAGTGTCTGTTACTGAGAAACCTGCCAGTGGCTGGACTGAAAGACGGCACAGAGGCACTAATCATGGCAGCGCAGGAACAAGCTCCGAGCACAGGATCCATAGAGGCTGCGGTCTATCACAGCAGGTAAGACCCCAGGTGCAGGCTGTGCAAAGATGAGACAATCCAGCACCTAACAGCAGGGTGCAAGATGCTAGCAGGCAGCGCATACTGGAACGCCATAGTATTATACAAGAATACGGGAATGTATTTCATGCCGAGTATGGCCTGGAATTCCCGAGGTCAAAATAGGATCCGGCCCCTGGGGTGTTTGAGGATGACTGAGCTAAGATTATGTGGAACTGGACATAGTAGTTTTGGGCAAGCAGAGGAAGACGACTGCAGTGAGATGACTCCAGAATCACCATACCAACAGTAAAGTTTGGAGGTGGGAACATCATGGTGTGGGTCTGTTTTTCAGCATACAACACTGGCACGCTTCATTGAAGGAAGGATCAATGGAAAAATGTACAGAGACATTCTTGGTTTAAAAAGAAAACCAAGCTGCTGCCAGCTACCAGGATGATGAAGATGAGACAAGGGTGGTCATTTCAGCAAGACAATGACCGCAACTAAGCCCCACACAGCCAAGGAAACTGGGTTTATTTTAGAGAAGATGAAAGCTGTAGATATTTGCAATAAAAACCTTGCTACAGTGTGATGTTACCAAACAAAACTGTGGCTCCACCGTCATGCACTTACACAGGAACTGTTGTATAGCTGCTGGCACTCCAAACTGTTCTAGCGTTTTCTGGTCAGTCAGACAGAAAGTTAGTCGGTCTCAACATTCACATGTCGTTAAGCTCATCCTTAATGTTTTACTTTACTTTGAGTCCCGGCCAAGAAAACATGATTCGGCATGGATTCAAAAGTTTGTGGGTGTAACTGATGTTAACGGAAGATTTAACCCTCTGAAATGTCTAAAGCTATAGTAGGCTATAAAGCTGTAGGTCGGCTGTGATTTAATGCACAGGGGATCTATTTGTTCGTCTGGCTAACCTTTATTTTTTCTCATTTACACACAGGATCCCCTGGCTCCAGAAGAGGAACCTACAGCCAAGGTAAACCTGCTCTTATGCAGCTTTATGTCTTCATCGTCTTTCATGGGGAGGTGGACAGGCTGCTTTTCCAGGAGTGTCTCACTCCCATTCTTGCTGCTGCTGCCAGTTGGCAACTGAGAGCTAGATTTTTAAAAAACAAATTATTCTAAAAAAGTAACCCAAGAAGTTTGGAACTGTGACTCACTCTCGCTCACTTGAGGAAGCAGACCGTTGACGACTTTTGGGTGAATTTTCTCTGCAGGGCTGTGTAGACAGAGGAAGCCCACAGATATCTCACACAGGCCCCACTTGGTTGTGCAAACATCACATTTCTTTATGGGCGAGCCCACTACGGGTCCCACGTGAGTTTTCTGTGATTAAGAACAGTTTGGTGATGAATCTGTGACACAAACCCATTGTTTGTTTTTCAGGACAGTCAATCAAAATGTTTATCCGAGGCCGACCCATTACCATGTACATCCCCTCCAACATCCAGAACTACGACGAGCTGAAGATGGAACCTCCCTCTGAGAGACTGGAGCTGGACTGGGTGTATCCTTCCATAATGCCACGTATTTGCGAGGGTTGTTACATTCAGACGCTGCTGGTTTTACCAGGACTAATGCCTCGTATGGTCTATACTGGTGTGGGTGCAATGGTTATAGCTGGCCTGCTCGAACTGAAGCAAGGTTCAGCAACACAGTTTTGTGTGTGATTTGTTTCTTTCTTGTATCTTGTTGTTACCTTAACGCTGTTCTGCTAGCTATGGTTACCGTGGACGGGACGGTCGAGCTAATCTGTATTTCCTCCCGACGGGCGAGGCAGTGTACTTCATTGCCTGTGTGATTGTGCTTTATCACATCAACAACCGCACACAACGGCACTATCGTAAACACACAGACTGCGTCCGCTGGTTAGTGGAATGGAGCTAATGAATAAATCATCCACATGTTGAAATCGAACTTGGCAGTTCAGCTGACTGATTAGCTACATAAAGTATTTGCCCCCTTCCTGATTTCTGTGTTTTGTATATTTGTCACACTTAAATATCTTAAAATGTGAAAGAAATTTTACTATTAGTCAAAGTAAGTCCAAAATGTAGTTTTTAAATGAGTATTTAACTAATTAAAAACCTATTCAGCAGCTCTACTCTGAATTCTTTGCCCTGTGGTAACAGAGAGGCCCGGAGGAAGCTAAATCCAGCTGTTTGCATCCGTGATCTCATTCTTTCACCTTTAAAAGAAGTAAAATAAACAGTGTTAACAAAAATAGATTAACCTATTTATGGTATTGTTCAACAACGATGCTCAGTCTGGTGGCAGATGGCTGCAAAACATTTAGGACACAACAACTTGGCCATTGAAATAAATGCAGCTGCAGTAGCAGTGTGTAAAGATTGTGGCATGAAGACTTGCTTTTTAAGGCCTGTTTCACTCTGTTAGATGGTTTCTTAATTCAGCAGGGTGCAACTAGTGAAACTGAACTCAGCTTTTGTGAAGTACTCCTGGTCCACGGTGGTCAGTATCTATCGAAAGCGGTGCAAGGAAGGAACGATAGTGAAACAGCGACAGGCTCACTGATGCACGTGGGGCGCGAAGGCCGGCCCGCGTGGTCCGATCCAACAGACGAACTACTGTAACTTCACATTGCCGAAAAGG